CAAGTGGAAGTGTAGTCGAGGAACAAGCCAAAGGTCAGTAATGAGTCATTGCAGGTTGGGATCAAGTGGAAGCATAATCGAGGAACAAGCCAAAGGTCAGTAATGAGTCATTGCAGATTGGGATCAAGTGGAAGCATAGTCGAGGAACAAGCCAAAGGTCAGTAACGAGTGGTTGCAGGTTGGGATCAAGTGGAAGACTAGTTCAGGAACAAGCCAAAGGTCAGTAACGAGTGGTTGCAGGTTGGGATCAAGTGGAAGCGTAGTCGAGGAACAAGCCAAAGGTCAGTAACGAGTCGTTGAAGGTTGGGATCAAGTGGAAGCGTAGTCGAGGAACAAGCCAAAGGTCAGTAACAAGTGGTTGCAGGTTGGGATCAAGTGGAAGACTAGTTCAGGAACAAGCCAAAGATCAGTAACAAGTGGTTGCAGGTTGGGATCAAGTGGAAGCGTAGTCGAGGAACAAGCCAAAGGTCAGCAACGAGTGGTTGCAGGTTGGGATCAAGTGGAAGTGTAGTCGAGGAACAAACCAAAGGTCAGTAACGAGTTGCTGCAGATTTGGATCAAGTGGAAGTGTAGTCGAGGAACAAGCCAAAGGTCAGTAACGAGTGGTCGCGCAGATAAGGACAGCTACAGGTGTGCAAATGAGCAAGATATCAGCTGGAGAGAGCACAATAATCTGGCAAACGGGAAGTGCAGAGACAAGGCTGACATAGGAAGTTCATGGAAGTTCACCAGAAACAAGGCAAGATTGTCTGAGGGATCAGACAATATGCTGTCCAGCATCTCAAGTGGCTCTGCAAGGAGATCTACTGTTGAATGTAGCAATGGTCATGGGTTCAGATCCCAGTCCTGACAACAAAGACTTTTAACAAGCCAGGGATAAAGATTCTTCACAAAAAGCACATAATGGTGCACATTGGCAACCCTGTCTTCTTATTGCGTTCTCAGGTTTTATACTCCATTCTTCCTGCCAAAGTAACATTGGTACTCTAATCCTTTTTCCTTGCAACATCAACCATAGCATTACATAAGATCGGCAGCAGACTGTATGGTAAGTGTTTCAGAACCTTACAGTAATCCAGAGCTTCCTTGCCAAAGAATGTACTAACCAAAACAACTCTTGGTGGTTGATCACTTGCGCCAAGCAGTTGGCAAGGTCTTGCAGTGCGGAAGACTTTGAGGCCCCACTGCTCAATAAAACTAACTACCAGAGCTGTCATCATGGCTGCTTTATAGGGTTTGGCACAAGGGTGACCCAGGCAGAAGACCTTTCCAGACCCTCTCAGGCCTATGGCTCCCAGCACCTCCATCTTTGACTGGATTAATGGTAGAACACTAGTGTCATCCTTCATTCTCCTGGACAAACAACTCCGACTGTCAGGACCATCTACTGAAGCATTAAATTTCTGAGTCATATTTACAGATTTATGTGCTCTGGATTGGTAATTGTGGGTGGTTTGGGATGAGCAGAGAGACTGGCTTGGTGAAGATACAAATAAAACAGGCACAAAAATAACGTGTTAATGATATTGAGTGTTTCTTGGAGAAGTTCTCCACGTTGGCAATAGCCAAAGTCTCCTATTAATAAACACATGACAAAGGTTGGGAGTAAATGCAAGACCAGAATTGCCAAGTTAGTGATCACAGGCGACAAAGCTCTGATTGATCTATGTCACAGATCCTCCTGAATCTCTGAGAAAAAAACTATATTCTGCTAAAGAAACAAGGCAACATGGAATTTAACAGAGCAGTCATTAAACTTGAACTGGTCTTAAAAATGAGATGATTCTTTCTCAAACCAGCCTCATTCACATCTATGAGTACAGACAGACACCTCTGGCTTGCTAAGTTGATAAAAAAGGTCAATTAGAAGAGCTAGAAAACAATTGCAACAATTGTCAACCACCCTCACTACCCTCCCTGATAAAGAGGACCACTTTCGGAGGCAAAAAATGAATGCTCATGGCGCCTGAATGTGTATAATAATCGTATTTCTCACTTCATCACATACAATAGACCATGGCATTGTGTGTCATGGCCTCCATGGTGTTGGGTGCTATGACCACCATGGAGTTGGGTGTCATGGCCTCCATGGTGTTGGGTGCTATGACCACCATGGAGTTGGGTGTCATGGACTCCATGGTGTTGGGTGACATGGATTTCATGGTGTTGGGGGTAATGACCTTCATGGTGTTTGGTGCCATGGCCTCTAAGTTGTTGGGTGCCATGGTCTCTAAGGTGTTGGGTGCCATGACCTCTATAGTGTTGGGTGCCATGACCTCTATAGTGTTGGGTGCTATGACCTCTATGGTGCTGGGTGCCATGGCCTCTATAGTGTTGGGTGCCATGGCCTCTATAGTGTTTGATGCCATGGCCTCTATGGTGTTGGGTGCCATGACCTCTATGGTGTTGGGTGCCATGACCTTCATGGTGTTGGGTGCCATGACCTCCATGGTGTTGGGTGCCATGACCTCCATGGTGTTGGGTGCCATGACCTCCATGGTGTTGGGTGCCATGACCTCCATGGTGTTGAGTGCCATGGCCTCTATGGTGTTAGGTGCCATGGCCTCTATGGTGTTAGGTGCCATGGCCTCCATGGTGTTGGAAGCCACGACCACCATGGTGTTGAAAGCAATTACCTCCATTGTGTTGGGTGCTATGGCCTCCAGGGGTGGCACGTAGCCTCCAGGCCACTTTAAATGTATGCAAGCTACTGCTGACAAAGTTCGTCAGGCAAACTTATCTTCTGTGTACTAATTTGAACAAAAGTCAAACTAAATGTTGTGGCACCACGGTACTGTGGATACATACCTGGGTACTGTGTGTCACCAAGGTACTGATTGTGGCTCAGTGTTGTTGGTTGTGTCACTACAGTACTGCTTGGGGGTTAGCAGGCACATCCCTGGTTGTGTTGGTAGAGTATTCATTGACCTTCCCCTACACAGGCAATCCCCCCTTTAATCCATCATGAATGCTGCTGCTAGACTCATCCATCTTACCAATTGCTCAGTATCTTTCACCCCTCTCTGCCACTCTACTAGCTTCCAATCGCCCAACACGTACAATTAAAAATACTAACAAAAGCACACAAAGCCATCCACAACTCTGCCCTGAGCTACATCACTGACCTCATCCCACCCAAAATGTCCTCTGAAGACCTCCTGCTCTCTAGCTCCCTCATCATCTCCTTCCATGCCCATCACCAGGACCTTTCCAGACCCTCTGACATCATCTGCAAATACTGTATCACGCGACAAAAATGTGCAATGGCCATTCATATAGTCTCCAGGGCCTCTGCTTTCTGAAAATATATCATGTTTGGGGGGTGATAAGTCATTTTCTAGCAAAAATGCTGCCCTAGGTCTTTCCTCTTCTAGACCGCAGAGTGGAACGTTCCATGTTTCAAAGTTCCATGTTTCCTGGCCCATTAGACAGATTAAGGTAAGTTTTTTTTTAAATTGTATGTATGACTAAGCCCATATACATAGCATAAAGCATACAATATTAGCTCTGGTATCTCCTGGATTAGTCCGTTGTGTTTCAAATGCATTGACATACCTACTTAGAACCAGTCTGTCGGGACAGTACGATCACCTGCTGATTTGACACCATCCACCACAGGCTGAAGGAATATTGAAAAAACAGGGAGGGTTTAGCTAGAACTAAAGTAACTAGAACAAAACAGGAGGGGAAGACAAAGAAATATACCATTTCATATAAGTAAACAAGTTGTAGTGGCTCAAAACCACCACTAAATGTCAACTAACTACATAACAATAGTAACTGGACACAATTTAATACTTCAAATGCTACATTATGCATTGACATACTGCCTTAGATTAAGTCTGTCCAGACAGAATGGTCACTTGCTGACTTGGCACCATCCACAGGCAGCTTAACTCTTCAATAAGCCACAGAAGTTGAATCCAACACAATTTCACTTCAGCTCACTGCAGTACCGAGGATATTTTTGCAGTCTTTTAAAGTGCAAGAAGACAATGACTTTTTCTGAGCCCTGACTCTGAAAAGTGCAAACACTGACTGAGGGAAAATGGAAGAAACAGGGGGGGTCTAGCTAGGACTGAACTAACTAGCGCTAAACAGGAGGGCAGGACAGAGGGAGAAACCAAAACCCCATAGTAAACATGCAGTACTGGCTCAAACTGCCGCTAGATATCATCATACTACAAAACAATAACAATCTCACGCCGTTTAAGGAAACACTGAAAAATGACATTAAAGTGGGACAGAAAAGTCTGGCTCAGGGGCGGACTGACCATTTGGAAACTCAGGCACTGCCCAAGGGCCCGGGGTCAGTAGGGGGCCCCATGAGATGCCCCTGGTACCTTTTTCATAGGCTTTTTTGAGTTTGGGCAAGGACACAGGGGCCCCATGATCCCCTATTGCCCGGGGGGCCCCATGATTTGTCAGTCCGCCCGTGGTCTGGCTGCAACAAAGTTCCAGAAATTGACTCTGGAAGCAAAACAGATTTTCTGGAGCATCCAGAGTTCTCCTTTAAATGGCGAGGACTTTCTGCGATCGGAGGTGAGCGCTGGGAATCTCAGTCTTTCCTCTCCTTTAGAATCTCCTCCGCTATAAATACCGAGCCGTGGGAAGTCCTTCCAAGCTTTCCGCTCCACGGCGGCTCTACTGTGGGCCAGGCCACGGCGTTTCCTCCCGCACAGCCTCCACTCCTGCCTGGTGCCCTCTCGGGGAGGAGACGTGGCGGTTGGGCGGCCGAGCTTGATAATTGGGATCAGGCGGGCTGGTGTCTGGCCAACGCCATGGCTTACATAGATGTTGGAAGGTGGCCTGAATGTTACCACCGGGCCAAACAGCCGGATGAGTCTGCCGGAGCGCTGCGACTGACACGATCTGCAGGGTGGGGGGGGGGGGGGGTTCTGAGGTCTGCCGGCCCATCTAGGCAGAGGGTTTTCACGCCATCACTTTGTTAACTCTTTACATTTGTGATTTTTTTTTTGTTAGTGCTGAAGGTTAACCACTTCCAGTCCGGACACTTTCACCCCCTTCCAGTCCGGACTCTTTCACCCCCTTCCAGTCCGGACTCTTTCACCCCCTTCCAGTCCGGACTCTTTCACCCCCTTCCAGTCCGGACACTTTCCCCCCCTTCCAGTCCGGACACTTTCCCCCCCTTCCAGTCCGGACACTTTCCCCCCCCTTCCAGTCCGGACACTTTCCCCCCCTTCCAGTCCGGACACTTTCCCCCCCTTCCAGTCCGGACACTTTCACCCCCTTCCAGTCCGGACACTTTCCCCCCCCTTCCAGTCCGGACACTTTCACCCCCCTTCCAGTCCGGACACTTTCCCCCCCCTTCCAGTCCGGACACTTTCCCCCCCTTCCAGTCCGGACACTTTCACCCCCTTCCAGTCCGGACACTTTCCCCCCCTTCCAGTCCGGACACTTTCCCCCCCTTCCAGTCCGGACACTTTCCCCCCCCTTCCAGTCCGGACACTTTCCCCCCCTTCCAGTCCGGACACTTTCACCCCCCCTCCAGTCCGGACACTTTCACCCCCCCCTCCTGTCCGGACACTTTCCCCCCCTTCCAGTCCGGACACTTTCCCCCCTTCCAGTCCGGACACTTTCACCCCCTTCCAGTCCGGACACTTTCACCCCCTTCCAGTCCGGACACTTTCACCCCCCCTCCAGTCCGGACACTTTCACCCCCCCCTCCAGTCCGGACACTTCCCCCCCCCCCCCCCTCCAGTCCGGACACTTTCACCCCCTTCCAGTCCGGACACTTTCCCCCCTTCCTGTCCGGACACTTTCACCCCCTTCCAGTCCGGACACTTTCCCCCCCTTCCAGTCCGGACACTTTCCCCCCCTTCCAGTCCGGACACTTTCACCCCCTTCCAGTCCGGACACTTTCCCCCCCTTCCAGTCCGGACACTTCCCCCCCCCCTCCAGTCCGGACACTTTCCCCCCCCCTCCAGTCCGGACACTTTCACCGCCCAATCAGTGATCACATGATTAGGACCTCACACAGAGGTCCCGTACAGCGATCGGTGTTCCTCTGTGTCCGGAGGACACAGCGGGCACCGGTTCGCGGTGCCGTGTGCTCCCAGGGAGCTTGTACAATCCAAAATGGTGGGCGCCGTTTATATACAGCGGCCGGATAACAAGTGGTTAATGTGCTTATATTTTGCCTTCCCTGGTTCCTCACCCCCAACCAACATGATAATGACATTTTAAAATACAGTAAACTCTTTGCATTTTCATTACATACCTTATTGTATACCTTGTCTCTGTGCCTCCCAATGCAATGCAGGCAGATCATGGCTCATGGGAGGGATCGGCAGTGGACTGTAAATAGCTCCCGGAAAACAACACAGCCCTCTGCCTCAGTACTCCTCTCAAAAGACCTCAGCCCTGATGCAAGTAGTGGGCTGGTTTCTGGGAGGAGTTGCAGTTGTCACTTAGAATGGAAAAGAGAGCAATAAAAACATAATAAATGTTTCTAAAGCCAAGTCAAGGCAAAAAATAGTACATCTCTGTAATATGTATTCAAGCCATGAAAGTGCCTGTGACCTGGTACAGTCCCTGCACAGCAGAGCTCAGACTGGGAGAAGAAGCACAAGAAGCGAGGCAGCACAAGGAGCCAATCAGTTCATGCGCTGACAAGAAGCACGCTGATAGGAGGAGAGAGAAGAGTGACAGATAGATGAACCCATAACTGTGCTACTTCTATCACTGTCCTGTTACAGCCTGGGGGCTGGTCCGGGATGAACTGAGCTCAGAGGAAGCGGGTGGAATGATGCTGGCCATCAGACTGAGGACATCTAGTGGCAGCCAAAAAAATGTACTGCGAGGAAAATCTCTGGATTAAAGGTGGACATTGTAGCAGAATCTGGTTTTGTTATTGTGTCTTTTTACTGAACTTTCTTTTTATTTTGTTACCTTTGATTGGAGTTTTGCTTTAAGTTCATCAGCTGAGTTATGTATCTGAGAAAATCCATCCTCCCACGTGTGGTTTAATGATTAAATGGATGGATGTACAAGGAGAGATAAAAGCCGGCTCCAGTTTATGAATGACACATCTGCAGAGGAAAATGACAGCTGCTTATCACACGCCATTATACTGCGGACAAAGGTGCCAAACAGAGCCAAGTGCATCCTGGGTAGGAGGTGATAACACCAGTCAATGCCCTATCTCTCCATTTAGTTTGGTTTTCCAATCCAGAACAAACACCGACATCATGTAAGCCATGAAAAGAGCTACAAAGATTAACTGCATCCTATACAGCCGGCTGTCCGCAGGGGGCGCTGTGATCTACACATCTACCTGTCCAGTATACATTATAGTACGGGTGAAGGATCGACCAATCACAGAGCTGGTCTGAAATGTTCTCTATAACATGGCATTTCTTTGTAATTAACTTCACATCAACAGCCCCCCTATATATCAAAGTCCCCCATCACATCAACAGCCCCCCTATACATCAAAGTCCCCCCCATCACATCAACAGCCCCCCTATACATCAAAGTCCCCCATCACATCAACAGCCCCCCTGTACATCAAAGTCCCCATCACATCAACAGCCCCCCTATACATCAAAGTCCCCCCATCACAGCAACAGCCCCCTATACATCAAAGTCCCCCCCATTACATCAACAGCCCCCCTATACATCAAAGTCCCCCCCCATCACATCAACAGCCCCCCTATACATCAAAGTCCCCCCCATCACATCAACAGCCCCCCTATACATCAAAGTCCCCCCATCACATCAACAGCCCCCCTATACATCAAAGTCCCCCCCATCACATCAACAGCCCCCCTATACATCAAAGTCCCCCATCACATCAACAGCCCCCCTATACATCAAAGTCCCCCCCATCACATCAACAGCCCCCCTATACATCAAATTCCCCCCATCACATCAACAGCCCCCCTATACATCAAATTCCCCCCATCACATCAACAGCCCCCCTATACATCAAAGTCCCCCATCACATCAACAGCCCCCCTATACATCAAAGTCCCCATCACATCAACAGCCCCCCTATACATCAAAGTCCCCCCCATCACATCAACAGCCCCCCTATACATCAAAGTCCCCCCCATCACATCAACAGCCCCCCTATACATCAAAGTCCCCCATCACATCAACAGCCCCCCCTATACATCAAATTCCCCCCATCACATCAACAGCCCCCCTATACATCAAAGTCACCCATCACATCAACAGCCCCCCTATACATCAAAGTCCCCATCACATCAACAGCCCCCCTATACATCAAAGTCCCCCCCATCACATCAACAGCCCCCCTATACATCAAAGTCCCCCCATCACATCAACAGCCCCCCTATACATCAAAGTCCCCCCATCACAGCAACAGCCCCCCTATACATCAAAGTCCCCCCATTACATCAACAGCCCCCCTATACATCAAAGTCCCCCCATCACATCAACAGCCCCCCTATACATTAAAGTCACCGATCACATCAACAGCCCCCCTATACATCAAAGTCCCCCCCATCACATCAACAGCCCCCCTATACATCAAAGTCACCCATCACATCAACAGCCCCCCTATACATCAAAGTCCCCCCATCACAGCAACAGCCCCCCTATACATTAAAGTCACCGATCACATCAACAGCCCCCCTATACATCAAAGTCCCCCCCATCAAATCAACAGCCCCCCTATACATCAAAGTCACCCATCACATCAACAGCCCCCCTATACATCAAAGTCCCCCCCATCACATCAACAGCCCCCCCTATACATCAAAGTCCCCCCCATCACATCAACAGCCCCCCTATACATCAAAGTCCCCCCCATCACATCAACAGCCCCCCTATACATCAAATTCCCCCCATCACATCAACAGCCCCCCTATACATCAAAGTCCCCCCATCACATCAACAGCCCCCCTATACATCAAAGTCCCCCCATCACAGCAACAGCCCCCCTATACATCAAAGTCCCCCCATTACATCAACAGCCCCCCTATACATCAAAGTCCCCCCATCACAGCAACAGCCCCCCTATACATTAAAGTCACCGATCACATCAACAGCCCCCCTATACATCAAAGTCCCCCCCATCACATCAACAGCCCCCCTATACATCAAAGTCACCCATCACATCAACAGCCCCCCTATACATCAAAGTCCCCCCCATCACATCAACAGCCCCCCCTATACATCAAAGTCCCCCCCATCACATCAACAGCCCCCCTATACATCAAAGTCCCCCCCATCACATCAACAGCCCCCCTATACATCAAATTCCCCCCATCACATCAACAGCCCCCCTATACATCAAATTCCCCCCATCACATCAACAGCCCCCCTATGCATCAAAGTCCCGTCATCACATCAACAGCCCCCCTATACATCAAAGTCCCCCCCATCACATCAACAGCCCCCCCTATACATCAAATTCCCCCCATCACATCAACAGCCCCCCTATGCATCAAATTCCCCCCATCACATCAACAGCCCCCCTATGCATCAAATTCCCCCCCATCACATCAACAGCCCCCGTATACATCAAATTCCCCCCATCACATCAACAGCCCCCCTATGCATCAAATTCCCCCCCATCACATCAACAGCCCCCCTATACATCAAATTCCCCCCATCACATCAACAGCCCCCCTATACATCAAAGTCCCCCCATCACATCAACAGCCCCCCTATGCATCAAAGTCCCCCCATCACATCAACAGCCCCCCTATGCATCAAATTCCCCCCACCACATCAATAGCCACCCTATACATCAAAGTCCCCCCCATCACATCAGCAGCCCCCCTATACATCAAAGTCCTCCCCATCACATCAACAGCCCCCTATACATCAAATTCCCCCCATCACATCAACAGCCCCCCTATACATCAAAGTCCCATCCATCACATCAGCAGCCCCCCTATACATCAAAGTCCCCCTATACAAAGTCTCCCCATCACATCAGAGCCTCTCTATACATCAAAGTCCCCCCATCACATCAGAGTCCCCCCATCCCATCAGAGGTCCTCCTATACATTTAAGTCCCCCATCATGTCAGAGGCCCCCTTATACAGCAGAGATTCCCCCTGCCAACAAGTTTTCTCATCAAGTCCTCCCATCATACAGTCCCCATTACAGAGCCTCCATAACACGGTCCCCTCACATCAGAGTCCTACCTTTTAGCTGCAGCATGGCAGCAGTGTCCCCTCCTAAATGCTGGAAGCATTCCCCTATTCCTGCCTGCTCTGGGTCAACCTCATGAGTTCCCGTGGTGCAGGAGGGCCAGCCACCAAACTTAAAGC